ATATTATATAATCCTGAAGATACTGAAAATACATACTATGAACAATATAACACATGTGCTGGATCTGTGAAAACTGGAGATTTTGTTTATGTAGCAACAGATGGTGGCAGACAACAAATAGCTCAAATTGATGCAATATGGGCAACGAAAGAGTATGTCCAAACATTTTAATATTCATCATTAGTTAGAGAAAAGTTAAAATATTTTAATAAGCAAATATTTCATATTTTACAGCGGAAAATGTTACTTCAAAGGTCCTTGGTTATTAATGCCAGGAGAAGTTCCACATGCGCCTAATAAATTATTTTATAAGCAAGAACTATTCCTATCTACAGTTGATGGTACTCACCCTATTGTTGCAATTGTTGGAAAATGTGCCGTCCTTGATTATGGAGAATATATATGCAGTATGTATATAATTTAATATATAGTATTATTTTTTAATAATGCCTTTAAATTATATACTTATTAGTTCTTTTTTATTGTATTACTGTTAGTCTATTACGAGCTCACAAGAATAACAGCGACTAAATAAATATAAAAATAAATATTATTTATATAGGTCGACCAACAGAAATTCCAGAAGATGATATTTATATTTGTGAATCTCTTTACGATGAAAGTAAAAGTTTAATGAAAAAACTAAATCAGGAAGGATTAAAAAAATTTAACCATAGCTCTGCTGTTACAGAAGATGAAATTTATTTCTTCCGGAGACCAATTAATCCTGCTAAAGTGAGTGTACTTCCTTTAAAAATATATTAACTTAAGTATTAATGACACCTTTAAATCAGATAGATTCAAAATAACAAAGTACAGCTTCATTCTTATACGCAACTAACTATAAAATTATTGCTTGGCATGTAATGCGTGTGTTGTAGGTTCCGGGTGACGTGGCTCAGACGCAAAATCAAGTCAAGTCCGTCACGCCCAGTTCAGCTCAGTTTGAAATGGTAATTACTAATTTACAAAATTGTACTATCTATCTTGAGGGAAGCAACATCAAAATTGCATGCATTTAATATCATACAGACTGATGCAGCAGATTAAATTTCAATATAACTCAAATATTAATAATTTAGTCAACGGAATTAGGGAAAAAAGAACAAACTGTTATTCTTAATACATCAGTAATATAATATATATTTCAGGTTTATACATCTTGCTGTATCGATCTGTCTATATGCATGCTGTTATTTTATGCCGGCATATTTATTTTCTTTTATTATTATTGTGCAGTTATGTTTTTACACATAGCACTCATAGGGTGAGCATTAATTTAGATATAGGAAACAAATTCAGAGCACCTGTTGGGTTTATATTGTTAAACTGTATAGATATTCAACACCACCGAAAAATTACTTGCTTCCATGTTGCTCTCTAACCAGATTTATATAAGAATGAAAAAAGTTGCTTTAAATGGAATGCATAAAATACTAATATCTTTATACCGCAAATTAAATTAAACTTTAATTAAAATATTATATATTTAAATATGTATATGTAGCTTCTTGGGTTTGAACTGTTTTATAGACAAAAAAAATATGTGAATTTAGTATTCAGTAAAAATAATGCATTTTTGAGTACTTAAGGATAACAATTGCAAAGCCTATGTTAAAATGTGTGTGTGTGTATTCCATTGTTTGTAATATTCTGTAAGATTATATTCAAAACTTAACAAATAACATAACATTCGGTAACGGATAATGAAGGTAACAAAACATAAATGGTATAGGAAGCATCGCCATTGTTACCGAAGCTGGAACCTGATGTACTAAGCATGGGAGTAGGATTAGGAGTGGGAGTAGGAGTAGGAGTTGGGGAGGACAGCATGGATGCTGGTGGTCCACCGTCCGTTGGATCTACTGAAGCTCAACCGGTGCTCTCCAATATTCAGACACCTGTGTCATCTAAAAAGGTAGGCTTTATACAGTGAAATCATTTGCTTACCAAATTGTCACGTGTTGTATTTTTATTTTTTCACTTTATTTTTATTTAAAGAAATATGCCAGCATACTTTGTGTTTTTGCACCATTCAATTTTCGTTCTCTAACATTAGTTCCAAAATAGGGTGTGTTCCTCTTGAAGATATACTTAGGCAATATTAGTTAGTCCATTACACGGTGACATTATAATTTGTCTTTTCTTCTGTTTAGAAAACTACCGGTAAAAAATTAGTTACTGGCTATATTTTATATTCGAGTAAAATGCGAACGCAGATTACACAAAACAACCCAGAATCATCCTTCGGAGAAATTAGCAGAATTGTTGGCAATGAGGTATTTATTTCTTTGTTCACTCATTTTATGCTTTATTATGAAAATATATTTGAAGGAACAAATATGCAATATAATAATTATTTGAATTTTCGCATACTTAATCCTTTTCTTTTTTATAATGTACATAAATAAGAATATTATAAATAATAATTAACGATTTATATATTTCAGTGGAGAAAATTACCAGCAGGAGAGAAGCAAGCTTGGGAAGAAAGAGCTATTAAAATAAATGAAGATGGAGGACAACTTAAAGGTGGATCTATGACAGTTGGAACTAATGCATTACAAGATGTAGTATATGAATGTTGTTGGGATAACTGTGATTGGCAATTTGAAGATATGACTGATTGTATTGATCATTGCATTGCTGAACAGAATGGACACGTACAATCATCTTTCACGAATGCTGCTCCTGGTAAAAAAGATATTAATTGTGTTTAATAATTTATATTGAATAATATTATGTAATTTATATTATTCAAATTATTGTGTATTCGATAGATGTTGATTTTCAATGTCAATGGCGTGGCTGTGGTCGTACTAAAAAATCTGTACCACCATTTCCAAGTGTCCAGAGACTTGCAAGACACGTTAAAGAAGTGCACATTCTTAAAGCAAATGGACGTATTATCCCACCCTCCGAAAGGAGCAAGTATGCATTCTACTATTTTATTAAATATTATATTCAATTTTTATACATATATTTTTAAGATTGTTAATTAATTTACACGTTTGTTCAGAAACTACATGGCTTCAAAAGGTCCTACGATACTCCCACCAATGGAAACAGGTAAAGTATTTAATAAATGTTAATTAAATGCTAGAAAATATTTATTATTTCATAATCTATATATGTTAGAAACATCAGCTGCAGCAACACAGACCAGTAATATACCAGCTACCAAACAACCAGAGCCAATGTTTGTTGCTGTACCCCCAAGGCCGAGTCGAGTATTACATTCGGATGCATATTTACGGTAACATTCTACATTATAATGTACAATCATTATAATGAGAATATCTACTTAACATTAGGATTTACATTATTAATATAAAAGTCATTCGTAAGAAGAGATCAAACTTGAACAGAACATCACGAACATATAATATCTGAGTTGATTTCCAGGTATATTGAAGGACTAAATGTAGAAAACCGTTACATATCAAATTGGGATAAACAAATGAATGCTACTCCTGAAAATACCCAAATTCCTGATATAACTAAATTACCTGCTGAATGGTTGGGCAATGGTGTGGGCAACCATGGAAATGTGGTGAATGCCTTATGGACACTCAGAAATATGATGATGCGGGATGTGTTAGCTATCAATAAAACTTTATAGTTTATAAATCGTTAAGATCTGTAATTTTTAACAACTCGATGCTACCTTAACTACAGTTTATAGGTCCGTCGATGCTAGATGAAAGACTGACAAATCTGGATAGTTTCAATATTAATATGTTTATGTATTATGATTTTCTAATTAATTTTGAATAATATTTAAGAATATTTAATTTTTCATTTGAAAAAATTTAATAATATGTCTCATTGCCATAACTGTGAAAAACAAGAATTGAATTTTTACACATTAATACAGATATTTTTAATCTAATTATGCATTACCATACAAATTTTTATATTGGGTAATGCTTAAATTAGCCAAATGTACTTTTCTACATAGAGATAAAAATATTTGAAAAATGTCTCTCTGTGAAAACTATTTAAAATAAATAAAAGGGGATATAGACTATAGAACTTCCAAAAAAAAAGAAAAAGAAAGAAATAAAAAAAAATATTTTATGTAAATATTTTGCGAAATTTTATTTTTTACTTCTCATAAATAAGATCTTGTATTTTTTCTATATTACATGGTATAAAACTATAACTTGAGAAGTACTCCTCTTGTATTGTTCATTTCATACTAAATCCTAACATTGAAAAACTTTTTTCTATTTTATTTAATCTTTTTTCTAAATATATTAAACAAGTAAAAAAGTATAGGAGTGGTTTCATATAGTCTTCCATAAAAAAATATTTATTATTGAAATTTTTGTAAATCTGAATTAGTATTCTATAATCTTAAAATATCTTTCAAAAAATTAAACACTAAAATTAATAACGAGCTTTTAAAGCGATATGTACAGTTATTCGATGTATTGAAAAATATTTATTCTTTGGCTAATATATTAGTAAAGAATTTTTCTGTACTTTTTTAGAAAAACTATTATTGTCATAGATATATATCTCTATAGATAGATATATATCAAATGTAAATGTGATGTATATATATAAAATTATTTGAATAAACAATCAAGATAATTATGTATGTACATTCAGCTTTACTGGTAGTACATAAGATTAGGCGTTAGTAAAATTCAAGTGAAACATATTTTTATAAATAAAAAATAGCTCATAATATATATTCCATGTATAAATATTTACCACTCAATTTCAAAGTTTTTTTCAGTACTTAAAATTAGTCATTTACTAAAATAGTTTAAATATATATTTCAAAATTCTATAAAATAGAAATTTAATATATAAATTAGAATTTTTCCCCTGTTATATATATAATGAATAATTTTTAAAAAATCTAATGTATATCATTTCACCTAGCATTGACAACCATAACAATATGAAAAAAATATAACTTGTAACTGTGTATTTAGAAGAAAAATGAATACTATTATTTACTTACTAAGAGTAAGATTTACATTAATATGAATTTTGTAAGTTAACGTTGAACTGAGATTGTTATTTTTTCTTGTACTTTGGATATACATTTATATCTTTAAATGAAAGAAGGATATAAAAGTATTTTGTGCTCAAAAGTCGCTCACCCTTCCACCGATTTGCCAATCACCCCATTTGGTTGGTTCCTTTTCACTATTTGTGATTAATTCTCCAGTTTTAGGATCGGTGTCGACCAAAACTAAATCAATGAAACGTTCACGTGGTGGTACACCTATTTATATGAACATTTAAAAGTTTATGATAAAAATTAATACAATATTTAGATTTAGAAGATATCTATTTATATATATTTTAACAAATTTAAAATATATTTTTCTACATACGTGGCATTGGCTGTAATTTAAGTTTCTCATGAAATTCTTTCATTCGTGCTGACTCTTCCTTCTTCGATTCTGAGCTTTCCATTGCTCTTATATTACCTACGAATATTACATATATCATTAGTGTAGATATCATCAATTATCATCACTATCAAAACATGCTACATAAAATTAATAATTTATTGTTCAGACTAAATTTAATTTATACCTGTCATTAAGGTATTAATCCTCTTCATTAATGAAATTTGTAAATGTATATGTATATTCAAACGAGCTAACATGCTTATGATACTTGATACCCAAAAATCAGAGAATAATTTTTAAATGATATTGATTTATGAATTATGATATTGTTAGTTTAAATTCTACGTTGATTAGTAACGAAACAAAATACAAACGATAGTCAAATTTTTGTACAAATAAAGGGTGGCAATAACAAAAATTGAGTCTATTCAAAAATTTATAATGATTCAATTTCAAACATTTGAGCATAAATTCTTTAAGCAGAGAAAATTTATATGTTAATAACTTTAATTCTATATTTATTTACTTAGAAGTTCATCTGTGACTTTATCAATTTTTATAAATAAAAAATTGTCAATGATCTTAGATAAAATCAACGAAGAACTTCTATGTAGAGACATTAAAAATATCTAATTTATGTTGATCAATGAAATGTTTAAAAAACAAAATTGCAATATATATTTCATATATTTCAAATAACAATAAGAACAAAAAACAAATTTATATATTCTTAAATTCAAAAATGAATTTATTGTTTTAAAATTTAAATAAAACAACAACAAAATTATAGAAAGAGGCTTGTTAGGCGAACAAAGTTAGAGACCAAAAGTTATACAGGAGTAAAATTATTTAAATAAGTATTAAAAAAATTCTCCTATGATAGATATTCGTTGCAAGAATGGTTGCGACTGGCAAGACAAAATCTGATACATTGATCTCGCTGTAGTATTTGTTGGATACATGTTTTTCCTTCTAATATTTTCTAACATAATCTGTGGTTCAAATCTTGTAATGTGATTGCTAACTGTTTGTTTAGGTAGTTTTGTATTATTCTGAATAGTTGTAGAGTCGTATTGATCATTTGAAGTAATGGGTGTCTCAAAAGTATCTGTGTTTTCACTATCATCAGCCTTGTAAATTACATTTGGAGGTGCCATAACTTGCATCTTTGCAGAATCTGATTGAAGCGTTTTATTTTTATTAGTTTCATCTTCATTTTTTGAAACATTTTCAGAAATAATTTCTTGCATAAATAATGTTTCAACATTTTCATATTTTTTATTACTTTTAACTTCGTTTACTAGTTTATGTCTCAATTGTGATAATTTAATGATTTCTACAAAATTATTCGTGTCATTTTGATGTACATTATCTTTTTCATGAATCCTATCTTTTGTATTGTATTCTTCTTTCTGATCATTTTTAGTAAAAAATTTATCTGAAGTTGATATTTTATCTGGTAACATGTTTTGTATCCTGCGACAACAATATAATGCACCAGGATCAATGGGATGCGCTTCTGTATTAAAAACATATCCTCCTGAATCAACGATACAATGACCCCATTGCGTTTTTATTATATCTCCTTCTTGTCCATTATTGTGAATGAAATTATCTGGATCGAAGAGAAGGTACAGATATTTAGTTGTTTCTGCAAGAAAAAAAGATTCCATCCTATCTGCTTTCCGATGATCACGTACATCATTAATGGTTGCATAGCCACATTTAGTTTTGGCGCTATGTTGTAGACTTCTAAGTATATCAACTCCTACTTCAATTAGATATGGGTCACCAGTAGCCCTATATAAATACATCACAGATTCTATAAGTTCTGGTCTCAATGGATAACTTTCTCTGTTTGTTCCAGCTTCACCTTGGGGAATATTATAAAATTCAGGAGTGAAACCAAATTGTTTCCAAACACGATGATAATTGTGTAAAGATTTCATCGCATCTCCAATTTCTCCAAACAGACTTAATACACCTGGCCAATAAGCATCTAAGGATTGAAACACAGGTAAAGTAACTTGACCTTTCGTCATAGAAACCCATAAATGCCAATCTTCTCTGCGAATATATTTTTCTACGACAGCTTTATGTTCATGAAACATTGCAGCTAGCCATGGATCCTGGAACAATAATGTTCCTTTTGCTAAGTATTCAAAATATGAATCGATTCCTGCACCGATTCCAGAATCCTGAGCTGTCCAATGACCAGTCAACACATCTATATGATTACCAACTAATCCAATATTAGATTTGTAATGATTTAATGCTTTCAAAGCATTGATAGCAACTTCTTCGTAAATGGGATCACCAGTTAAGCGAGAAAGTGTACCAAATTCTAAAATAAAGGTACCTATTCCAGCTGTACAAGTAATGCTTGTTTCTCCCTCAGGAACACCGTACTTCAAATTAACAGTTCCATATGGCATTCCTGTTGGCGTATCAAAAGCAGGAAGCAATCTTTTGGCCATATCTTCAGCAAGACGTAACAGAGGACCATTACATGGCCATCCTGGTTCTAAAGGTACACCTGCTTTGCGTGACAATAAATGGGCACTCAACAGTCCACCGACAACTCGAATATTTGTTTCAAAAACAGATACATTAATGTTAGCTTCAAAATTTTTTCTTTCACTTATAATCTCAGCGACACGACAAAACTCAGAGAAATTTCCCATCACAGCTAAGGTATCTAATGCATCGATCAATGTTAATGAAAAACTACCCCAAGTATCAAAACCATCACAGCTAAGCGATCTTAATTCGTCGTAAGGATATGCATAAGATAAATAGCTAGAATATGCATGATCAAACATTGATCGCACCTCTTCCCTCAGAGCGATTAAATCTTTTTTCTTATATTCTCGTGCACCACTTACGAGTATTAGAAATCCAAAAAGTAAACCAATCTTTAAAAAAATCATTATATAAATAATCTTTATCTCTTGTCAACTAAGGGCTAAGAATTTCTATAAAACTACTATAGAAAAATAGTTGCCTTTTATAAAATAATATCAAACTTTATTATTTACTTTATTAAATTATCCACTGTCATCTTTGAAATCTAATACACACCATGTGGTCATTACTCGTGAACTATTTTGACATATTGGGTAGATTTAGATTATTGTATATACATTTAAAATCACTCGCGCTCTCTGGTAGTTTAATTTTTTATTGAGTTCTTTTTATTAATCCTTTCCAATCGATTATCTCAAATCACAAATGTTGTTACTATTCATTTAAAGTAGAATTTTTTAAAACGTCTCCAATATGATATCGGTTTTTTTTTTTTAATCTAGTAAGTCTTTTTCCTGTACCTGTTCCAAAACAATCGTTCTTAACGAGTAAACTCCTTTAATTAATAATTAAAACAAAATATCTATATTAGATTTTTAATTGTTGTTTGTTTTTAAATGTATATAGAATTAAAATACACATTCACTTTGTGTACACTACTTATTATTAAAAGTTACTAGGAAATAAGAAAGTTTAAAATATATTGAAATTCTAGTAACATGGCTAAGCCGATATCGGTAATAGTAGTGCTCTACCTTTATCTTACCGACCGAGATCTGATGGTAACTTACCATCAGAATTACCGACAGTAAAAAAATTTCAAGCAATAAAGGAACAATTATAGATTCTAAATGATCAATTAGTGAGCAATTAAGAGCAATTATTTTTTTCGTTCTGCGGTAAAAATTTGTCTAGTGTCGGTAATTCTGATGGTAAGTTACCATCAGATCTCGGTCGGTAAGATAAAGATAGAGCACTACTATTACCGATATCGGCTTAGCCATGTTATAAGAATTTCAATATATTTTAAACTTTCTTATTTCCTAGTTACTTTTAATAATAAGTAGTGTACACAAAGTGAATGTGTATTTTAATTCTATATACATTTAAAAACAAACAGCAATTAGAAATCTAATATAGATATTTTGTTTTAATTATAGTATTTTGTATTCAAAACAAATCATTGAAAAAGAATTCGATGCACAGTTAATAAAATAATTCCTTGTAAAGATTTATTCATACATGCATCTTACGTATGATTTCATACACCTATATATTCTGTTCGCCATTTTTTACGTATCTTACGTGTCACGAAATATCACGTCACAAGCATTACGTTATTAAATGATGACTCAAATGATGCTCAAGTCACGAGGCGTGCATATTTAATGACTAATGATCTATTTAGGTAGAAACGTTAATTTCTGAGAATGAATAGAATTATAAAATAAAAATTCTTTTTATCAAAGAACAAACCATTCGTTTATTTCACACAAACATATATATATATAAATCGTATTAATACGTTAAAAAAAGTATGAGTCATAGAACAACTGGTTTAGCGCGGTTTTTTTGAATGTAAAACTACGTAACATTCGCTATTCTCTTCCTCGTCTCTATTTCTTTATATATAGTTACTCTCTTTCTCTTTCTGTTACTCTATATATATTTCTTATTTTCTCTGTCTCTCTGTTTCTCTCTTTCTATTCGTCTATTACATTTACTATTATCTTTCTCTCTCTTTTCCTATACATTATCATATTTTACTACTTTTTCTTTTCCTGTCCCTCATTCTTCTTCCTTTTTCAAATCGAATGAATCATCCTATCTCCTTGTCCTGATTTTCTTGTGAATCCTAATTGGCACTGGTTCAACGAATATGCCAGGGCGTCGACTTGTTCCTCTCTTCGATATTCTTCCTCTCACGCATACATATACACACATCTTTTCTCTTTCTCTCTTTAACTTGAAACGTGGCTCTTCCTTTGCGTCATCGACAAAAGTTACGTCGTAGTGTTGTAGACGATTATTCCCTCTCTCTCTCTCTCTCTCTCTCTCTCTTCCTATCCTCTATCCTCTCTTCTCCTCTTTTCCTCTTTCCTTCTCCTTTCATTCCGTTCACATTTCTAATCAAGATTTTCAGTCTCAGTTTTGTCGTGCAGTCTTTCTCAGCTCATCGTCGAGGATCGTCTATTCCTTTAAAACACAACAGTAAACTTCGACTTCTATCTTTCGTTCTAAGGTCTTCATTTATCGATTATCCGGTAGTACTGCAGGTGAACACAAAAAGTTGTTTTAATATCACTTTCCTAATTTGTTTTTTTCGCTTCTCGCTTTCTCTGTTTTTTCTTTTCACTGTTTCATTAAATCATTTTTAGGACTATTTAATTAATGACAGTGATATATATGTTTCAAATTGATAAGTCATAAATTAGATAAGTTTATTACTTATCTAATTTGCTTTAACGTTTATTTATTACTTTATATACTACAGTTTCAATCTCTTTATCGATTACTATATAATTAATCTTGAAAATATTTAAGACTCTGAATTATGTATTAACAGTTTTCCATTTTCAAACAATGATGTTATTATATTATTGAAACAGTCGTCATGTTTTAAAAATAGATTTAAAGATTAACAAAGTATCAGAAACATGTTAATAATTTAATATTTTAGTTCAAACTTACCTTGACTTTTATTTCTTAAAATATCTTTAAAACAATACTTGATGAGAGAAAACATACCAATACAATTAAGTAATACACGGTGCATTTGTCATTGAATAAGTCTGACAAATCGTCGGCTTTTATGAATTCCTTTTCACTTCACTGCCGCATATTTTATTCCTCCTCTTCTTCGTACAATCCCTCCCCACTCTCTCGAGTTGGTCCAGGGTTTTAATATACCGTAAGAAGCACACATAGCAACCAAGTCACTTAGTTCGTAGAACAAGTTGGTACCGGTAAAGGTGTTCGGAAAATATTACGTCTTTCATTTTGTTACGAAAGAAAAGGTGAAGAAGTTACGCCTCAGTAATAATACTTTATTCTTTATTATTTTTATCTATCTATAATTTAAAGATATTTTTCTAGTTTTTTCTTTTCGAATAATGTGCGCGCAAATAGCATTTTTATTCTGTTCGATCGCAAAGAACCAAAATGGCGTCCCTTTTTTAATTACCTATTACGTGTAATATATTTCGTATTAATCGATAAGATATTTAATTATCGTTGCATCTGTTTTTTCATCGATTTGAATTTCCGAAGAAAAGAACGGTGAATCATTTATTTTCTTTACTTTTATATGCATTATTATTTGATTAAATTGAAAAGATCGATGACCTTGCGTGCATTGTGAAACGTATTGACATACATATTTACTAACATTCTACCTCGCCCTCAATTATAAAGTAGGATGAGTCAATCGATAGTATCCGGTATATCGTGTTACGTGAAATACGACAAATTGTGTATTCCTTAGATCGTTAGATAATACATAATTGAAGTAGTTTGTTAATAATTTAAACACCTTGTCGGAAAGCTCAATTTGCATAGATCCCTTACATATGTTCTAAAATAATAATATATAGTATATAATAAGTTATATTAAACATTGGTGTTCTGTTTTTTTAAAGATAAAAGAAGAAATGTCTCCCACTCAGTATTATCACGTGCAGGTATGTATTTATGCATATAAATACGACAAAAAAACGAACAAAGTTCGATCGATACAAAAGAATATTTTGTAACTTCTCGCCCATTTGCACAGTGCACGCCGACCGTCTATCCGGCTGACCCTTTCAACACCGAGGAAGATGCAGCTCTGTTGAGAACAGCGATGAAGGGTTTTGGTACCGATGAACAAACAATTATCGATGTCCTTGCTCATCGTGGAATTGTTCAACGTATGGAAATTGCGGAAAAATTTAAAACGATGTACGGCAAAGATCTAATCTCCGAATTGAAATCCGAACTTGGCGGGAATTTTGAAAAAGCTATTGTCGCCTTGATGACACCTCTGCCAGAATTTTATGCCAAAGAATTGCACGATGCAATTTCTGGAATGGGTACGGATGAAGGTGCACTCATTGAAGTTCTTGCATCTCTCAGCAATTATGGCGTCAAAACGATAGCTGCTGTTTACAAAGAGTGTAAGCTTTTCTCTTTTATAATATTTCTTAACCGGTAAAGGTTTTGTTTTCTCATAAATAATTCAAATTATACGATTAAAAAAAGAAATATAGATCAAATAATGTTACTGATATAATAAAAGCCAATTATTATCCTCAGTATATGGCTCTGAATTGGAGGATGACCTCAAAAGTGATACTTCCGGTCATTTCAAGAGGCTTCTAGTTTCACTATCATGCGTCAGTATAATTTATAAAATGAAATTTAAAAATATGGATTAAAATTAATATAAAATCAATATTATTTCAGGCAAACAGAGATGAAAGTTCGGAAGTTGACTTAGCAGCCGCAACAGAGGATGCAGAGAAATTATTATCTGCTGGTGAAGAACAATGGGGAACTGATGAGAGTACATTTAACGCTGTACTGATTACAAGAAGTTTCCCACAATTAAGACAAATTTTTAAAGAATACGAACGCCTTGCTGGCCATTCCTTGGAAGAAGCTATCAAACAAGAATTTTCAGGTTCTCTAGAAGATGGTTATCTCGCAGTTGGTAAGAAAATATGAAAATTAATTGAATAAATTTGCATGGAATTCGAATAAAAAAATAAATCAAAAAATTTCCTTTGTAAATTAAATGAAGAATTTGTTCTTTTTTTACTTTGCAGTGAAATGCGCTCGAGATAAAACTGCATACTTTGCAGAAAGACTTTACAAAGCTATGAATGGAATTGGTACGACTGATTCAACTTTAATACGAATAATAGTAGCTAGATCAGAAATTGATTTGGGTGACATCAAGGAGGATTATCAAAAGATTTATGGAACATCGCTTGCAGGTGACATCGATGTAAGTTGATCGATATATATATATATAACCGCATATTATTCGTTGTCATTGCATCGATATCATTTATATATATTGTTTCTTTCTTTTCTTTTTAACATTCTCACCCGCATTATACCCTATCTTCCCATAAATTTCCATAAATTTCAGGATGACACTTCCGGTGACTACAAGAGACTCTTGCTTGCCCTACTCGGATGAAAACGTTCCGATCGTTCAACAACTATTTTTTGCTTTTTAAATCGTATTTTAATACTATGGATGATACGTAATGATTTTCTGTTCTAAAATTTTTTAGAAAGTTCATTAATTTCTTCTTAATATATTATTATCACGATCGAGAGGGTGAATATGATTTGACATGTATGTGTTTATTCAAATAGTTTTCTGAATTCATTTTTTTTCTTTTTCCGTCGAATAAAATGCAGACAATCTCATTTATAGATCATGCTGTTCTGCGTTTTCTAAAATGGTATTATACGAACCTTTTAAAAGAAAGGATTAATCGAAGCCTTACGAGATAAAGGTTGTAAGCTATTATCAAAAAGAAACAAAGAAAAATATGTATTTCCAAATTTTTCGTTAATTAATAAATCTATCGATTAGCATTCGATCATTACGTTATCCGATTTATAGCTTTCACAGTTAGGGGCTTCGATAAATGAAAATGTAATTGTAACACGAGGGTTGTGCCGATTAATTAATAATACATACAATTAATACAAACATATACACGTGTGTAAATTAACCAAGTATACTAATTGCAATTTATTTTTTCGAGCATGCATGCACATGTATACTTTGGCGTGTGGTATACATTTCTTTATATATTATATATATATAAATATAGATATAATATATATGTGAATACAAGGAAAGATTATGGTACAAATATTCGCGCACGATTGCTTCTATGTTAACGCAAACTATAATTTAGTTCCAAAAATTCTTTCTTTTACGTTTACAGAGCGACTGCAGCGAAGACTTTAAACGACTTCTGATCGCACTTTTGAATTAATGACAAATTACACACGGTGACTTTCTTCTTACCCGAGAGAGATAATCTATCTCATGCATCCTTTATTTTAAGTATTTAATCATTTGCGTATCTCTCGCTATCAATGTAATATCTATATTTGTTTTTAATAAATATGCATGTGTGCCAATAATCATTTGATATTTACTCGTTACAATCGTATTCTTTTACCAACAAAATATTCACTTGTTCTTTTTTCCAGAATGATTGTGCTGCCGAATGGAAAAAGCTTCTGATCGCAATGCTGAACTAGGTAGATTATTTATTCAATTTATATAATATTAAAATAATTTATACTTTTTTATTTTTTTTTATATGAAAATCAATATATATATTATAAGGAATACTTTTGTAATGTTTACTATTATTATTATTGATAAATACTTGAGTTGCAAATAATACACAAATATATTGATATAAACAATATAATCATTTTATTGATATAAAATAGAATAATTTTTTTTGTTGATACAAAACAAAATAATTGACTTACATTATATTAACAGGATAACATTATACCACAAATACTTTGGATAGTATAAGTATTTGTAGTTTACAATATGTAGCGTTATACAATTATACCATTGTAACGACAGGACCTTTATTTTTCATATTTTCTATTTCATTTATAATCTTTGCTGTATTAATTTTAATATCGAAGCAACCTAACTTTATTGGCAATATGTTAATTCTAATAAGTCTTCCTTCCAATTCAAAACATCCATGAACATCTGTTTTATTTATGTTTATATCATATAAACGAAAGCAAATTTCTGCTTTTAGATTTGGTATAATATATTCGCCAAAGCAAATTGGAGGTGGATTTCTTGCTATAAAAAAACATATATATATATGTAAACTTAGTATATATGCAGAATATTCGATTAGAAATTGTTACTAAGTTTACCTGAAATTGTTTCTTTAATTATAATTAAACCATTGTACGTTACAGTAACAGAAAAACCATAGTCTTTATCTAAATAAGTTGCATTTATGCATACTAAAAGTAATATTTTGTAATAAGTTAAATATAAATATAAATATATTATTAACATATATTATATAATACATTCAACTAACGCAATCCATCCAATGAAATTAGGTTCCATATTAAGTATTGACAACATCCACAATTATATTGAATACATTCACAACTATTGTGCAAATTAATATTGTCATCTAAAATACAATAAGAAATGCAAATAATATATAAGTAAATAAATCGCCTCGAATTAAATAGATTTAGATATTGTTTTTTTTACTGTTATCTTGTGTAGTATTATTTGCTATTGTTGCATTTATCATAAATGCAGATAGAACAATAATGCTTAAATATTTTATTTTAATCATCTTGTTCTGTAAAATGAAAGATACATACATTTAAAAATGTTTTAAATACAACTCTGTTAATATTTTACTTATACAGTAATGCTATTTAATGATTCAGTATATTTAAATATTTGTGCTCAGAATTTTAAATAACTGATCACTATTTATAATAAAATATCAGGATATATATATATTCTAATATATAATCCTTACTCTATTATAATTTTTAAAAAGTTTAAAAAGTTTAAAAAGTTTAAAATTACAATATGGACAAAAAATCCTAATGGAAATTTGCTGATGAAAATTATCACAAATTATACTATTTCGAAAAACAAAAAGTTAATTGTTACATAATAAAATATATAATCTACATATCTTTTTTTTATGAGATTAATTATATTATTTCATTTTAAGTTCATTGGCCAATTAATAAATTTTATATAAACGTACCTTTAGACCATCTTCTGTGTGTTGGACTTAAGACTAAAATCCCTAGGATACATTGCTAACAGTCATACCAATTGTCCTGTTGTTGCTAAGAACACATTAAAAATAGCGTATATTAACCAAACACGTATCAAGCGGTACTTTTTAACATCAAGTGTTTTCCGTTTTCTTCGTATTTAGTTTTATTGCTCGCCTTTAAGATAGACGAACATGTCTTTTGTGTTTACACGTGAATCTCATTCCTTTCTGACATAAGAAGAATTTCTCTAATCTGTTTAAAGAACATATTTACAAATGTCGTGTATTTCCATATTTTTAGGAAATATAAAATGTAGACATATAAAAGTAGTTTATTTAAGTTAACAATTAGGAGAAAATCATCGATATTAAATTCGAGGATATTAAAATGAAAGAAAGAAATTATTTATTTGTAAATGGTAAGAATTTTTATCTAAATATCTCTTTACAGTCTAGAACATAATATAGAAATATTAACATGTTCCATGCTGAATTTTGTTTGTTTCATTCAGTATGAAATGTATTAATGTAATTATTTTACAAATATTTTATTCTACGAATATCTATTAGGTTATTGATAAATAATATTATGCTAATGATAAATAATATTTCAGATTTGTTGACAGGCTAAATAGAATATAGTAATATATAAATAGTTGTCTATATTATATAATATCATATGGAATGTAATAATCAATATTTATCAAATATGAGCGAAAACGAATCTATGTATGGAACAACTCTTTCGCAAGAATCTATAAAAGTCATTGCAGAAAGCGTAGGAGTAGGAAACTTTCCAGATGAAGCGGCTAAGGATATTGCTGAGGATGTTAGTTACAGACTGAAAGAAATCATACAAGTCAGTAGCAAATAATATTAAATTGTTTATATATGTGTAAGAAAATTCAGAATTTAAAAGATTCTAGATTAATGATTGAATTTCAAAATTTAAAGTAGATGGTATTCGATTAGTGTAACGAGTCAGCTAAGCAACATCTCATATATGCTAACCGAATTATATTGTTCTTATAATTTTGTAGGATGCTGCAAAATTTATGAGGCATGGCAAACGTAAACGCATTACAACTCATGATATAGATCATGCATTAAAAATAAAGAATGTTGAGCCAACATATGGGTTTTTTTCCAAAGATCATATACCATTTCGGTTTGCTTCTGGTGGGGGCCGTGAATTACATTTTGTAGAAGACAAAGAAATAGATTTGAATGAAATTATTTCTATGTCCGGTGGACAAGCATGGCCCAAATTACCATTAGAAATTAACGTACGTGCTCATTGGCTTTGTATTGATGGTGTACAACCCACAATACCAGAAAATCCACCTCCAGTATCCAAAGGTAATCAATTTACAATCATTAATTAATTATAATAATATTTGTATTTATTATTGGTTTTATATCATTATGAACAATACTAACATAAATAACTATTTTTTAACAGAGGCTCAAAAGTTGGAAAGCGTTGATCCAACGAGTAAATTAAATAATAAGAGCCAAAATATAGGTGCAGGAAAACCAGGTGGTGGTGGAAAAAGTCAGAAATTACGCAATGTAGAAACTGTACACGTAAAACAATTGGCTACACACGAATTAAGCGTTGAACAACAGTTATATTACAAAGAAATAACTGAAGCATGTGTTGGTTCAGATGAAGGCCGAAGAGCAGAAGCATTGCAATCATTGTCTGCAGATCCAGGTTTACATGAAATGTTAGCACGTATGTGTACATTTATTGCAGAGGGTGTACGAGTTAATGTCGTGCAAAACCATCTTGCATTACTTATTTACCTAATGCGGATGGTTAAAGCGCTTCTTGATAATCCAAGTCTGTATCTTGAAAAATATGTAAGTAATTTAGTATATGTAACATTTACTTTTATTTATTTATATGAATATGTTTTTTTATTAATTCATTAATGAAATTAATTTACAGCTTCACGAACTAATACCATCAGTCGCTACCTGTATAGTTTCGCGTCAGTTGTGTATGAGACCAGAAGCTGATAATCATTGGGCTTTGAGAGACTTTGCTTCTCGACTTATGGCGCAAATTTGCAAAAACTTTAATACTTCTACAAACAATGTGCAGACCAGAGTAACTCGCATGTTCAGCCAAGCTTTAGCTAAATATAAAGATGTAAGATATCTTTATAAATATATATAAATATATAAGATAAATGTTACACTAAAAATAAACTATTTTTTAGACACCATTAGCTTCTCTGTATGGAGCAATTGAAGGATTATGCGAATTAGGTCCAGAAGTAATAAAAGCTTTAGTTATACCTAAATTGAAATTAATTTCTGATAGACTTGAAGCATGCGTCGAAGCCCCAGCATTATCTAGCATTGATAAAAATGGTACTGGTCATATAAAAACATTGCTTTTAGTAAGTACATTTACTATCTACTTTTTACGAGAATTATTTTTTATCTTTCAAGATTTTAGATAAAGGGTAAATATTAATCATTTTCAGAAATCAGTAGCTCCTGTCTTAAAAACAGTACGATCAGCACCAGATTATGTTGAGGACTACAAATTGGAGTACGGTTTCATAGGACCAGCATTATGTGCAGCAGTAGCTAAAGCTCGAACACAACCAACAGCTTTAGCTTCAACTGCTACAACTACCACATTAACCACTACTCAACAGCAAGGACCAACTTGCACTACCAAGACTCTTGTACAAACAGGTAATTAAAGTTATTGTTACTATTATAAATAACATTTTAATATATGAAATATTTGTAGATTTTCCTTTCTTATTAAGATAAATGATATTTAACACGTTGACTGCAATGTAAGTTTGATATGTTTTGTTGTAAAGCCCACAATTGTAAAATACGATATAAAATAATATAATAGCATCAATCACTAAATGATCCCCGTGGTTCCAATGTAGCAGTCAACGTGTTAATAAATATCATCAAAGAGAAAAAGAAGGAAAGGAGAGAATATAATATATATATTAGATTTATATTTTATGCTGATAATAATACAATATGATTTGTTTTTCTCTTATTATTATTAGAAAATATTTCAGTGTCAAATTCGAGTCCTGGACAACAAACAGGACGAACGATAATGCTTAATACAAGTAGAACTGCTAATACAACCACTGCTGGTGGTCAGAAATATGTTATTCTACAACCACGATCTCAAACGCCTACTGCATCCAATATAAATAGTGGTACAATACAACAATCTCAAACTCAACAACATCAACAGGTCAAGATTGCACAAAATAATGTAAATTCACAGAAACCACATATGCAAAATGTGGCACCTAAGTTGGTTGTTGTATGTATGCCCAACAGTAACCACACTAATACAACTATTACACAGGTATGTAATTAAAAAATTATATATTTTGTAATATTCTGATTAGAAAATATACTTTAGATTATAATAAATGATTATTTTTTAGCAAGCAAATATGACAAACAAGACACAAAGTGTTTTTGTAACACAACAAAGCGTAGAACATGCATTAAGTCCAGAAGAAGAACAATCATTTGAATAACTGTTACATTTGAGGTAAAGTTTATTAAGGTAATGTTTAACATGTTGATTGTCACATTGGTCACCAGTGATATTCAACAATTTGAAATTTTAATTAAAACATTATTAATCAATGGCCTCACTTCATTGAAAGAATTAGTTTCCGTAAGATCATTAAAGTCAAACAATGAGGAGCATGGTTAGCACTTGGATAGGTGGTGACCCTTTCAGTACATCGTGCGCTGTCAATCTCCAGAGAAGTGGTGACAGCCTTTGTAAAAAGATAAGTTTTGCAGGAAGGTATCGTAAAAAAGTTTCTGAAACTCGTATAAAAGGGACAGTAATAAAGACAATTAGAATTATTTTATTATTAAAATTAAATATAATACATCGAAAAATTCTTTTACAAGCCCATGAGAACATTATATAAATCTGGCATAGCAATCATGTTCAGTTAATCGTAGAAATTATTTTTGTATATTTCTCATATATTTCCTATATTTATATATATATTGTGCATAGTTGTATAAAAAATAAACTTTTGATATACATATATTTGCTATATACATATAATATATGTATATATATATATATATCAAATGAATGTATCTATTTAAATAATTTTAAAAATTCTTAAATATCAAGTTTAGTAATAATTAATATCGTTTTTATATAATTTTTTCGTTATTAGTGAATTGTTCCGTGATACTCTAAAATTACATAAATTACGTGAATTACTTTTAAAAATCCATTTTCAACCTGTTACGATTGTTTCGTAAGTTTCAAGATTTTTGAAAGTGAGTTACACACGAATTAAACTAAAAGCAAAGGTTAGATAAAATAAAACGACATTAATTACTACTAAAGCTGATATATTGATTGATAAGAATACAACCAATTAATTTTATTTAAGTAAAAGAATATTCTAACGGGACACTATATACAGTGCGTATTTATTTATTAGGATATACACTCTTAATTAAAAGAAAATGTAAAAATTATTTTCATAGGAATTATAACAGAATGATTTAGGATTTGACTATTTAGAATTCAGCTGGTAAGATATTTCTGCTTGCTGTAAAAGATTCTTAGACATTACACGTCCTGTATTATTCACCATTTGAGCAAATAAACTATTAGGTTTATCATGCAGTAGCTCGTAAGGAATACCAAATTCCTGCAAATACACATAGAAATATGAAATCAATGAAGTAATTATGAAAACATGGTAAATTTTCTTTTATTCTAAATTATCAGAATGATGTAATATATCTTGTTCTTACCGCAATTTCTCCGGCATYCATTACTAAAATACGATTACTATCAATAATAGTATTCAAGCGATGAGCAATTGTAAGAACAGTACAATCCGCAAATTTAGTTCTCAAAGTACGTTGTATCAATTCATCGGTACTAAAATAGATATGCATTTATATAAGCTGCATATATTTATAAATATTAAAAAACGTCAATCAGAAATACAATTATAATCAGCAATAATTTATTAATTAAAAATAATCTTATTCTTTTCTTAGCAGTGTTGTTTCACTTACTGCGAATCAATATTAGCAGTTGCCTCATCCAAGACTATAATTCGATTTTTTCTTAGAATACTTCTAGCCAGACATATCAGTTGCTTTTGACCAACACTTAAATTGTTACCATTTGCTATAATTTGATCATTCAAACCAATATCATTGAATTCGACTTCTCGAAGAACATTCCAAAGAGTCGCGTCGTCGTATTCATTAAATGGGTCCAAATTATATCTCAAGCTTGCAGCAAAGAGAATTGGTTCTTGTGGTATGATGGATATTCGAGAACGTAAATCTTGTAGACTTATCGTACTTGTATCTATACCATCAATTATTATCTCTCCATCTAGACCCTCGGAAAAAAGACGAAAGAGTGCACTTATTAATGAAGATTTTCCAGCACCTGTTCTTCCAACAATACCAACTTTCCATCCTGCTTCTATCGTAACTGTTAGATTCTGATCAGCAAGAGAGAAATGTTTTATTATGTACATTGAAATATTATTTACTGCATATTTTAGAAAGATTTTTTACCTTCAAAACAGGTGGCTCATTTGGATTGTACCTCATATAAACATTTTTAAGTACTACTTGGCCTTGCGATGGCCATGTCGGTGGTGCAGGATTCGTTGATGTTAAAGACTCCTCCTTAGGAAGATTAGTATATTGGCAAATTCTTTCCACAGATGTCATTTGAATTGATATTTCGACAATTTGCCTTATGCCGTATTGTAACATGCCAACTAAAATAAGGGCTTGTGAAATAGCTAAACCCACATCTCCTCCTAATGTGTTGTCTGAAATACAATAACTAAATTTGTTACATGTTTTTTTATTTCTCTTTGCATTTTTTAGAATAAATTTAATGTTTTATTTTTAATGATGATTAAAGCTTAAATACCTGTATCTACGAGTATAAAAAAAAAACAGATAAAGGCAATGAAAAGACAGGACAATAGATCAAAGACTAGACCTAAAAAATCTGATATCGCTAATATGAGATACCAAACTCCTGTATGTCTATCTTGTAAATGATCGAATTTCTTCTTCAAAACATGTTCTATTTCGTTACCGCTACTTCTTATTGTCGAAAGTCCAGTTAAAGTTGTATTGACGTGGCAAAATATTGGGCTTCTACCTTGAAATTAAATTCGAAATATTAATACTTCATTTATTTTATATAAAATAATATTAAAATGTAGCAAATCTATACTTACATATTCCTTCATAACGTTTAATATTTTGTACGGTTTTAACATATAATATTTGTATAAAATAACCAACGGTAGCTAATAGAATGAATGGTATAATTATCCAATAATTAATCATTAATTCTATTATAATAATACTACATCCGAGTAGAGAATCTTGTATGGTTTCTAATATTGGCTTTGGTAGTAATTCATCTAATGCTCCAATRTCTTTCGAAAATCTATTCAGAATTCTTCCTACAAAAGTTTACAATGCAATATTTTAKTAATAAAAATGTATTTTTTATAATAGTATCGTTATACTTAATATAATAAATTAATATATGATGTTATAAATTCTCGAAGTTTACTTACCGGAAGGATTCATATGAAAAAAGCGCATGTTWGTTTGTAAAATATTGTTAAATGTTATATCATGAATCTTACGGGAAGCGATCATGCAAATTTCCATAAAAAAGATACTACGTAAAAAGACCAAAATTATACAGGTAATAATAATTATTGTGTAAACATATATAGCAGAAGTTGTAGTCAATAATCCTATATTATCTGTGGATAGAAAGCTTGATAAAATTGTATTATTTATCGTGCTTTGATATTCATATCTTTTATTCACGATAAAACTTTGATTTTTAACACTCCTTATTACTTCTAAATTCGTCCAGTAAGAAACCCAATAATCAGTACCGCTTGCAAATAATTGTGTTATTAATGTTAATATTATAAAAGCAGATAGAGTCAACCAATTGGCGCCATATCGAAAATATTTGATATATAATTTCCAGGAAACATTGGGAATTAATTCTTCTTGCTCATCGGTGTCTTCAGTTTTATAATCACCCTTCTCGGATCCCTGTCATAATTACTTCTATATAAGACATCACGGACGATTACATACTATGTTGAATTCTTAAACATATTATTTTTTAATATCTATTACCGGGATTAAACTGTTGTCAGATTTAATAGATGCTTTACTTCTTATACTATGTGTGATATCATCAAATTGTTCGATGTCAATAGCATCATCGAGTTTGTCTCGTTCTTTGTCCATTTTGATCTGAGTGATCATTTTTACAAATTCATCGTTATTTTTAACTAGTTCATTATACTTTCCTTTCACTTTGACGGTACCCTTAATAATAAATATTCCAGTTTAAAATCGTTCTATTCAATTAAATCAATTTCATTACTCACATGATTCAATGCTACAATAACATCTGTTGATTTGAGAAACTGTAATTGATGCGTTGCCAATATCCTCGTAGTACCACGAAGATATTCGTTGATACATTTTGTAAAAATATGTCGAGCAACTTTCGCGTCTACTGCACTCAAAGGATCATCCAGTAAATAAATATCTGCTTGTTTATAGACAGCTCTTGCCAAATTRATGCGTGCTTTTTGTCCACCGGATAACATGACTCCTTTTTCTCCAACAAAAGACATATCKCCKTGWGGTAATTGCTGAAAATCTTTACTCAGGGCACATACTCGTRTTAYCTAAAARTGTATTGTTAATATGAGTATTTTTATTTTTTCTAGACCATTATAAATRATATAGTTTGACGAGTTAATCATTCACCTACATCCATGTATCTTTTCTCATCGTATGCTCGACCGAAAAGAATATTTTCTTTGATGGTTCCATCAAAAAGCCACGGTTCTTGAGAGGCATAAGAAATTGTAATGTTTGGATTATCGGTGAAGTATTTATCAAAGTTTTTCAGAGATTCCATTTTTGCATCAGAGTTTTGAAGAATCCTTAATATTCCAGTGTACAGAGGAAGTTCTTTTAAAATGGTATGTAAAAGGGCTGTCTTCCCTGCTCCAACTTGACCAAATAGAATGCAAAGCTGGCCTGGGTCCACTTTTAGATTGATATTACATAGAGTAGGTGGAAATTTATTAGATACCCAGTTTGCTGTTACTCTAGTCATTTCAATGGATGCTAGTTTGTTTTCTTCAACTTTTATTACATCTTCTTCTCTCGACTTTAAAAAGATTTTATAGTTTTCTACTTTATTATTGTATTTTGACGTCTTCCATGGCGTTTGATTGTTTGATATAACTTCGTCCAACATTAAAAATTCCTGAAAGAATTGTTATCCTTTTTTAATTAATTAACAAATAATTAATTTAAAAAACAAACAGATTATGGCAAACCTCGATTCTTTGTACGCTTATTTTAGTCTCGCTCAACCATATTAAAGCTAGTAGAAAGAACATAGCAATCGTTAATTGTAGCATGCTGAAGTACGTAGACCAAATATAAGTATATTTAGGATTTAGAGTTTTGTTCGCGAGAGCGTACACTACCATACAAAAAAATAAAGTGATTCTTTCAGTATAAACTAACATTGAAAGAGACAATACTCGAATTAACGTGGCGAGACGAATTTTTTTCATTTCAGCCGAACGTGTATTCATCACAAATTTACTGAACGGTTTTTCCCAGCCATACATTTTGATCATCTTAAACAAATCATATTTTATATTTAAATACATTAATCAATTTTAAAGAATACATATTTTTTCTTTTGATTTTTATCGTTAAAAAATAGCTACCTGTATGCCATTTATAAATTCACCCATAAGCTGTACCCTTTTATCCGTTAATGTTGCTATACTTGCTCTCAAACGATTACTTATTATAGGGAAATATCCTTGAATGGGAAGAGAGATCAATATGAAACATGCGACGCCGAAAAATGATGAGAGTCCGATCATTGTCCACATTATGTAGACTATCACTACGAGCTACGGATTGTTGAATAATTTTATAATCCAATGATTACAACTGTGCTGTAATTATGACAGTGGACTGACAATAAGTTATAAAATAATTTTATAATTACTTGTACGATAAATCATTAATCTAATTTTGCCAATTTTTTCTACTTATGTTAGATCACTGTAATAATTATCAGAGAACATTTGTTTGATAATATAATTTGATAATTACAGCAATTTAAGATAATAGAAAAACTAATTTATTGCATTTTTTGAGTTCAAGCTTTTACCTGGATCGGTGCAATCCATAGATAATGCATATAAAAAGGTACCATATCAAAACGGCTCATATCATTGCTAAGAATATTAATAACTTGTCCAGCATTAGTTGTTTGTGTTAGGGCAACTTTACTTAGTCGTAGTATCTGAAACGAATATTTTCGTTTATTAATTTAATTACTGTTGTCGAAATATTCATTTATTTTACAACAACGTACGTAACTTCATTTACTAAAATAACATTGTTAAATGATAACACAACCTTGACGCAAACAGAATTACCATAATATATAAGTCATTTATTTCTGATAAAATGTAAAAGTTACGTAAACAGGAAAAAAATGTAATACAAGATAATGGACTTAAAACCATTCATTATTTTTCATTGTCAGACAAAAAATATAATAGTAAAACAATCTTTTTCGTATAAAATTAACATACTTTCCTGTATACCAGAGAACTGCAAGCTAAGCGAATTTGCATTCCCATTTCTCGACTTCGTAATGCTACATGATGCATGATAATAACAGATACTGTGATATTGATAATTAAACCGAATGCAATAGCTATGCCTTCTTTTTTTGTAATAGTTTTTGAATTCGTTGTAGTCACATTAAAATAATCGATGATCCATCCTTGAAGAATTGGTTGTAACGTATTCAATATTACACATTGCACAAATAGAAATGTCGTTAACAGCAGATATTTTCGCCAAAATATACGAAATATGGCTTTGGACAAGGACGGCTTTGTACCTTTGCCTAATTTTTTATTACCGTCCTTTTCTAATACGTATTCGACGTATTTTAATTTCTCCCATTCTCGAGTCCATTCTCTGTTCAAAATTGTATAAGAAATTAATTTCATTTTTTATTGATGATGAAAATAAAAATAATAGGAAGGAAATTTAATGAACATTCGAATACTAAATAAATGGTTATACTTTTCGAGCAAATCTCCAAGCCTCTCTGATTTGTCGGACTTCAAAGGATCGTAAATATCTTCTAATGTTAATATTCCTTTCACTCCTTTTTTAAATATATCTTTGAGCCACCTAATTTAATATAATATATAGATTAAAACAACAATAATTATTAATATAATTATCAAAGATGTTAAAAAGAACTGAAAATTTTCATATAATTAGAAATAATTTTATAATCGAAACAAACCAAAAAGTTAAAATACTAAATAAATTAGCTGATTCTTCTGGACTTCTGTTAATAGGACACTTATCTATATCCATTGTTTTTTTATCAAATTATTTTCATTAAATATGCATGTATAGTTACAATAATCTATATTTACGTATATATTTATATTTAAAATAGTCACAATGATTGCGACTGTTGCGTGGTTAAAAAATTCAGGATTACTAGAAATGTTAGTTGTTACCGAAGCCTTTAATACCTTCCTTCTTCTAAAGTAATTATACACAAAGTGATAAAAGTAACAATAAAACGTGTTACTGTAAATTACGAAGAATAATCTACAAGAAGCTAATAGAAAGTATTGGAAACGAGTTGCATGTACGTTTAAATAATTGTAAGCCTTAAAGATCGATCGTTCTTTATTTATTTATCGTAATAATTTTAGGATAGTATACATCTATGATTTTTATGTGTGTATATATATTAACGTTAAGAGGAAAAATGAATAGTCCAGGTATGCAAAGTGTTTTTTTGAATTTTAAAATGATATTTTTTTTTTAATCTTCAATTAGTTATGATCAGAACGTATCCTACCCGGCGTTACCTATATCTAAATATCTTGTGGAGTTATTGGTGAGTTATATAAGTAAAAAACACTTATTTTAATTACGAGGTCTTTCAACTAAACAATGAAATTATAGTTGTTAAAAATCGTGTGCTTGCTAATGTAAGCCTACTTTAAAATAAACCAAATTGCTTTGACCATAAAATGTAAAAAATATTCTGACGTAAACTTGACAAACCTTGAACAAAATGATAAAAATAGTAAGTAACAGTAAGAGCCTTATAAACTAGTGCACCATCATGGCTGTTGAAAGTCCCCAGACTTTACATTAAAAAAGAAAAAATATTAATAATAACAAAATAAGAATATTTATCGATGATAAATGATTGGGGAAGATCGAAACAATAAATGTTAATTAGAGTTATTCGGAATAATATTACGATTAGTTAGACAACAAGATTGCATAAGAGTACAGTTACTAAGAACAGTATATTTAAAACTCATATTAATAAATAAGAAGCAACAATAATGAATAAAATACACATTATAACAATTTTTCTTATTACAAGTTCATAGTTATTGCATACATATAGACCTTATATTATTTAAATATATGTAAACTAAGTAAAAGCATGACTATTAACTTTCTTTTAATTCATATATATTCAAGATTATCATGAAATGATAAGTCATTTATATTGAAGCTACTCGTAGATAATTTTAGACTATTTTGTAAAGAATTTCGTCGGTAAGCCATTTCTGCTTGCTGTAAAAGATTCTTAGACATTACACGTCCTGTATTATTCACCATTTGAGCAAATAAACTATTAGGTTTATCATGCAGTAGCTC